TTAAAGATGGCTGCCATGTGGGGGAAGTGAGAGAGAGAGAAAAAGAGAGAGGGGGGGAGTGAGAGAGAGTGAGGGGGTAAGAGAGAGGAGGGGTGAGAGAGAGAGAGAAGAAGGGGTGAGAGAAAGAGGGGTGTGTTTTAAATTGCCCTAAAAATTGGGTGTGGCTTAAAAGGGCTGTGGTTAAATAGTATCTGAGATGACTTACATAGTGCAGAATGTGAGAATGTTAAATAGGGAATGTACAGTTGGAGTGTATGACAGTGGGTAGTATGTACAGGGAGAGGAGTGCGGAGTGTATGGCGGTGTATAGTATGTGCAGGGTGGTGTCCGTATGAGAGGAAAGGAAAGGAAATGAAGGATTCACATGGATGGTTCCAGGTTTACAGGCAAATTCAGAAGCATCACAGAGCTGATCTGGACACGATTTCCTCTTCTCAGAAGCTGCATGGGCTGGAGTGTGACAGGGACAGGAAAGGCAGAGCAGATCCGGGCTCTCACCTCTGCTCTGCCATTGTTGTGGAGGATAGGGGAAGGGGCTGGGCACTGTCAGAGAAAATGTGGCATCAGAGACCTGGGGGGGGTGCTGAGGAAGCACACAGTGGGGGGCCCAGAAGGGAAATCCAATGTACAGTCAGGGATGATGGGTGCAGCGCTGGGGACAGTTACAAGCACTGATCTCCCTATATGGCTTTCAATAAAGCAGTTGGAAGCCGCATCTCCTCCTCTCCCTCTCATAGCTTTCAACTGCTTCATTGAAAGCCATGCAGGGAGATTGGTGCTTGTAACTGTCCCCAACGCTGCACTGACCACCCGTGACTTTGCTCCTGATACATGTCATCCATGGTGGCAGGGTGTGTGCAGTGAGCACCCTGCACCCATGAATGATATGCCACTGCCTCTTGCCTTCCCACCGCCCACCAGCTCCATCACCAGAAGATCGTACAAGGCACTACCACTGCCTGGAACCCCGACTCACTCTGTCACTACGTGAAGTGAAAGGTGAGCTACTTCCAGGATCTGAGAATGCCTCCTCCTTTGCTCTTCACACTGTCAGCAGACAGTAAACCTCTCTCGGGACCTCCTACTGACCCCGGGCCCTCGGGCAATGCCGAATGCCTGAATGGCCAGTCCGCCCCTGGGTGAGTGAGTAAATGATTAGTATGCAGCTGCTTCTTCACTGTCAAATCAGCAGGTTGGAGGCAAAGAGGTGACCTAGTGGTATTGCTCAACTGAACCTTAGACAAGTTAGGTCATCATCTTGGCACTAATATCAACCAGCACTGTGTAAATCTCAAGACTGGCTGGGCAGAATTAAAAATCAATTGACAGGTAAAAAAAAGCTGCCATATATGTATTGTAGCTCTGTTTGCCTGGAGTTCAGCTTTAATCTGGGGTCTCTGTAATGTACTGTATTTATAGACTAACAGAAGGTCAGAAGGAGGCAGTAGGAGTGTACTCTTTGCTTCTTGTGTCACTAATCACATTGAAACCTACAAGATGGGTTTAACTTTTTCTCTGCTACATTTGTTGGCAGCAACTGTGGCATTTACACACACTCCTGGCTACTCCAGCACCTCTTGGGGATTTTATCTTCATTGTTGTGGGAACTTCTTTATTCTCCTGTTTTTTATATGTGCAGAGCACAACAATTGCTAGTGCTAGTGCTTTGTTATGCCCACCTTTACCTTCTAGGCACAGTAAAGTATGCATTGGGGAGGGGAACATTTTTCTTAAAAAGACTCTTCAAATGTAACATTAAAAAAAAAATAAAAAAAATAAATGATGTCATCCCAGAAAAAAAAATCAGTCAACTGGAATGTTTGAACCTGAACCTCAGGAACCTGAACCTCAGGTTCAACTATGGTTTGAGCATATTTTGGTTGGTACATAACAATCAGATACAGTAAGAGAAAAAAAAACATACACAGTCTACTGGAATTGCCCAGCCAGGACTAAATGTTAAGTTTTCAAAGTTATTGCAGTCTTGCTTCATATGTACTATAAAATCCAGTGTAATTACCCTAATTGCATTCAGTCATGGCATAATACAATTAGGTTACCTAAATGTTTAGGTTATCTCAAATTACTTGCAATCAGGACTTTAGAGATTAGAAATAAAGTTTTCAAGAGTTTTCAAAAGCTGACTTTTACTAGAATGAAAAGTGTATGCCTAGACAAAAAAAAATATATATACACAGCATATATACACTATATTACTTATACACTATATTACACTATCTTACTACCATCGAAGAAGTCTCCAAGATCCTCTCTGATGCCCGCCTCACCACCTGCCCCCTTGACCCTATCCCCACACAACTCCTACAACCTCCCTCCCCCTCCATCCTACGCTCCCTCACCCACATCTTCAATCTCTCCCTCTCCTCCGGCACTTTCCCTTCCCCTCTGAAACATGCACACATCACCCCCATACTTAAAAAGCCCTCCCTGGACCCCAATGACCCGAACAACCTCAGACCCATCTCCCTGCTCCCATTTACATCTAAACTCCTCGAGCGCCTAGTCTACGCCCGCCCCCGCCTATGCTCTCACCTCAACGACAACAACCTCCTCGATCCCCTACAGTCCGGCTTCCGTCCCCTACACTCCACCGAAACTGCCTTACTCAAACTCTCCAACGACCTGCTAACCGCCAAAGCTAATGGCCACTATTCAGTGCTCCTACTCCTTGACCTCTCTGCGGCCTTTGACACAGTCGACCACCCCCTCCTCCTCAAAAAACTACACTCCCTCGGCCTCAGAGATTCTGCTCTCTCCTGGCTCTCATCCTACCTGTCACAACGCTCTTTCAGCGTTACCTATAATGCCACCACCTCCCTCTCACTCCCCCTCTCTGTTGGGGTCCCCCAAGGCTCTGTCCTCGGGCCCCTTCTCTTCTCCATCTACACCTCCTCCCTTGGCCAACTCATACACTCTCACGGCTTCAACTACCACCTCTATGCCGACGACACACAAATCTATCTCTCAACCCCCCCACCTCACCCCCTCGGTCTCCGCCCGAATCACACACCTGTTGAGCGACATATCAGACTGGATGTCGCTCCACTTCCTTAAACTGAACCTCTCCAAAACCGAGTTTCTTGTCTTCCCTCCAGCCCGGACACCACCCCCCATTGACTTCTCCATCATGTCCAACAACGCCACCATCAAACCCGCCCCGCAGGCCAGAGTACTTGGTGTCATTTTGGACTCCAACCTATCCTTCCAGCCCCAAGTCCACTCTTTAACAAACTCATGCAGACTCCACCTCCGCAACATCGCCAAAATCCGCACGTTCCTAACTCCAGAAACCACTAAACAGCTCATCCACTCCCTCATCATATCGCGACTCGACTACTGCAACTCCCTCCTCACTGGCCTGCCTCGCCGCTGGCTATCCCCGCTTCAGTCCATCCTGAATACGGCTGCCAGACTCATTCACCTTTCCAACCGCTCCGTTTCCGCCACCCCCCTCTGCCAATCCCTCCACTGGCTTCCGATTGCGCAACGGATCAAATTCAAAATCCTAACACTGACGTACAAAGCTGTCCACCATACTGCCCCGAACTACATCACTGACCTAATATCCAAGTACCGCCCAGCACGCACACTCCGCTCCTCACAAGACCTCCTTCTCTCTAGTTCCCTGGTCTCCTCCTCCCATGCCCGCCTCCAGGACTTCTCCAGGGTGTCACCCATCCTCTGGAACTCCCTGCCCCAACCCATCAGATTATCACCTACTCTCCTCTCCTTTAGGCGCACCCTGAAAACCCATCTCTTCAGGGAAGCCTACCCCGCCCCCTGCTAACTTGCCGACCTCCTCCACTCTTCCTACCACTCCCATCCCCCACAGCTATCTCCTCCTGTGCCACCATCCCCTCCCTCCTAGATTGTAAGCTTGAAAGAGCAGGGCCCTCGATCCCCTCATGTTTTGCATTGTATTGGTATTGTTCTGTCACATGTTCTGTCCCCCTTTGTAATGTACAGCGCTGAGCGAACTATTGGCGCTTTATAAATACTGAATAATAATAATAATAATAATAATATTGCCAAAGGTATTGGGATGCCTGCCTTTACACTCATACGAACTGTAATGGCATCCCAATCTTAGTCCCCAGGGTTCAATATTGAGTTGGCCCACCCTTTACAGGTATAACAGCTTCAACTCTTCTGGAAAGACTTTCCACAAGGTTTAGGAGTGTGTCTATGGGAATGTTTGACCATTCTTTCAGTAGCGTATTTGTGAGGTCAAGCACTGATGTTGGACGAGAAGACCTGGCTCTCAGTCTCCACTCTAAATCATCCCAAAGGTGTTCTTTCGGGTTTCGGTCAGGACTCTGTGCAGGCCAGTCAAGTTACTTCACCCCAAAACTCGCTCATCTATGTCTTTATGGACCTTGCTTTGTGCACTGATGCACAGTTATTTTGGAACAGGAAAGGGCCATCTCCTTTGGCTATCCCCCATAATGCTTCCGCAGCTGCTCGGCCATGGAATCCCATTCCATGAAGCTCTCTACACACTGTTGTGTCCCATTAAAAGAGACTCCTTGCTACAGGAACATGATAAAAAATGCTGTCACATGCTTTAGAGTAGGAAGGAGTGGGTGTTGGAGGTAAATTTTGATCAAGCCTATACGTATCCTGTAAAGAAAAACTGGCATCAGAGCCAGCCCCTGCATCCCAAAAAAGAGTTCCGTGGCTGTGCTGCTGACCCTTTGACTTCAGTAATTTCTGAGCCACTTAACAGAAACAAAAATTCTGAGTGCACTCCAAAAAAATGTGTACATCAGTTTATGACTCAGATATTGAAAGCAGAAGTAACAATCCAGCAGCCATATTTGCTGATTAATTTTTTCATTTTTTAAATCTGGAAGGAATCCATTCATTTTTTCATTAATGGATTCCTTCCAGATTTAAAAAAACATTACATGTGTTATGTAAGAATTTCAAAAAGAAACCCTCATTTTCTAAATTGTATGCATTACATGAATTCAACTTACCGCAGCTGGAGTAAGCGTCTTCTGTACTTTATTATAAGGACTATATTTAGGTTTTGGTGGCTTCCCAGCTGCTCTGTCTTTGTGCCTTCGACTGCTTATGTGCTGCAAAATATCAGAAAGGTAATAACCAAGAGTTGTAAAAAAAATATTATTAGAGCCCTTATAAAAAGTAACAACTGCATATCCCAATCAATAGTTCATTCCAAATTTGTATTGCCCTTTCACATTCAAAGGAACATATTGATCTATTTATTTCTATACATACAGTAACATGCAAAATTTTGGTCAACCTCGCCAAATTACAACATTGATTTTCTCTGTGAAAATAATGTAATACATAAGCATGACAAGTTTCTGCAAATGCACAATTCATGTTTGTTGAATTTAATGGAATGGAAATAAATAAAACATAAAATAAGGAATCTTCAAAAGTTTGAACACCTTCCTGAGTAATCCACTGGTGTTTTTTTTGTACCAGGATTCAATTGATTTCTTTTTGAGGGCTTAATTCAGGCGGAAAACAATTCTTGGAATCTGTCAATGTGTTGTTTTCCCACTTTCCATCCATGGACTTGGATATGAAAATAAAAATAACTGATTCTTACAAAGCTTTGGAAGGATATAAAAAATGTCTCCTAATTGTAATTCCTATCTCCAACAGAGTCGCAGACATTTTGGAACCAACTGTTTTGTAGTAAATGGATCACAACACATTGCTACAATCACAAGATATATTTAGAGAAAACATAAGAATTTGAACAATAGAACACTGACCAAATTGTTAAAGATGAAGTCTAATCTGATATAAAAGGTAACAATCACAGCTGCTATGTTGTGGTTATGTGCAGTAGAAGGTACCTGTTACTGCAATGCATGGCAATGTGTGAAGGTGTGGTTGCTTAGAGGTGCCATAGTATCTGAAAGGCACCCTAATGCTATGTTACAGTAGTGGGCAACACACTCATTCAACACATGGTAAAGCATGTATGGCCATCTTGCCAGAGCATTGAGTTCAATAAATTCAATAAATCTGATAACATCTACTATGCTTTTAACTGAATAAGTTATAAAGATATGTTCATTGACACTACTAAATTTTGCAGCATACATTTTGCTAATACCTTTCAGCTGCTAAGTGAACATGTAACATAAATAAAATCTTGCATGCAGCTCTGCTCATTGATTTTGTATGTATGAAAGAGAAATAATATGCCTCCAGATGTCAATATCTCTAGCCCAAAATCACTACATATCAGATCTCACTACTTTGCTATCCTGAGAGATGAAGTAGTTTTCATTGTAAATCCTTTGGTTTAAATGCATTAGTTTGCTTATGCCCTCATCAACCATCCAGGTTAACCAAATTATTCAAATACTTATAACTGAAAATGGGAAAAAAATCAGACATACCCCAGTTAGTTCTTCTTGCAGTGTTTTTTTTTTATAAATCAGTGCATTGACTGCATACAGCGATGTTTTCATCCCCAAACCAGCCTTCCTTGATGCATTTCACCACTCCTGGCTTGCTTACAAGGATATCCAGGAGTGGTGAAATAGGTCAAGGAAGGGTTGTTTTGGGTTGGAGACATTCATGCAATCAACACACTGATTATTAAAAATATCACAAGAAAAGCTAACTGGAGAGAAGCTTCCTTTCCCCTACTTTTAGGCTCCATGCACACTGGGCATTTTAATAATGGTAGCTCTAGCTGTGTGAAGTCACGATAAAAACTTTTTTTTCAGCATTTTTTTTAGCATTTTAGCATTAGCATATAGCTGCATTTTTCCACGTTTGGTTGTTTTAGAGTTTGCTTTAAAAAAAAAAATTTTTTTTTTGCTCAAAAAAAGTGAAAAAAAAACACCGGTTTGCTGTGTTTTACTACATTTTGCTGCATTTTACCGCATATTTCAGCATTAGAGCATTTTTACAACTAAAAAACTCCTCTAGAAACCCACTAGTTCTGGAGTTTTTTTCCAGCCAAAAACGTCCCTGCATGGACACATAGGATAACATGCTGGGGAGTTTACTGGCTGTAGAAAAAAAATGCCAAAAGCCAAAAACAGCTGCTGTAAAAACGTCCATTGTGCATGAGGCCTTAATGAAGAATGGACTGCGATGACTGGCATCCAGGTTATCCATGTGTGGGAGAGGCCAGTCTTGAGAGGAGCTATGGATATGTGTATTTTTCTCTTCAAATAGTTAAATACATACTCTATGAAAAAAGGGCAGTGAAAAAAAATCATACAAAGTGCTTGAGATGTGCTAACATTCCATATAGATAAATGTATATAATAATTTAATAAAACACAGTTCATAAAAAGTCTACCTTTCTATCAATGCATAGATAAATTGTAGATTTGGCTTAATAGCAGAATAAATGTAATTGCTAATAAAAGAACCCAAAGGGTTCGATAACAGCCTAGGCATGATCAAAACTGTTTAGCACTGGGTGTATATAAGTATATAAAGTAATTATACAACTGTAGGGTTTCAGCCCTAACTCCAAACCTTTGAGATTAAAAAGATTGGACCCACAATTTTAATCTCTCTTATTCTTTTATTCCATGGTAAATAAATTGCTTTACAGAACATCTCTGTCTAGGTCAAATTACAAAAGAAACACAAGGGACCGGAATTGGATTACATTATTTACACTGGACCTTTCCAAAAGGTAATTGTGCAGGGACAAAAACACATTGCCTGCTTCATTTAAAATCTTGTAGCTACACAATAAACAGTAATTTAGAGGTGACATTGCTTTAGAACTGCTATTCCCCCAAGAAGAACTGCACTTTAGATTAACAAATTGATGCAAAGCTGACCAGTAGACCACTCTCCTGTATCAACAACATAGATTACAGAAAACAGTAGTTTTAAATTTCAAGTGAAACCTTTGTGAAATGTACCAGTTCAGTTATAATAACTTGCATAGTTACCTATTAAACTTAGCAGTTTGGGACCAAAAGAAGGAGAATCCATGGCCTTGCCTTTTAGGAGTACAACAGAGTTGCAATGAGTGGGCTGTGTTTCCTCTCTCTCCCACATGAGAAAGAGGGAGCAGCAGAAATTCAGGGATACACACAATCCTAACTGGTAACAGTCTTAACTGCTTTCTACTCTAGGCAATCTAAAATGAAAGTACGGTTTTTTATTTGACTTCCACATTACATTTTTCTAAACATAACCACTCAAATGTTCTATATTTTTATCCTTTCCAAATTAACTATCCAGTCATTATTTTTGTCAAACCAGGTTTCAGTTACACTGATCATTTCAAAATATTTGACTATGATTGTAGTCTCCAGAGGAAAACTACAAACTGTGCTAAGTGATAAAAGTGAGCACAGAACGTTACCAGCTCACTATATTTCTGGCAGGATCAACAGCTTTGATTTTGCATTTAATAAATAGATATAACAACAAATTTCAATGGTATATTTAACAGGAAATGAGGAAATTTTATTTTTTTTTGTTAGAGTTTACATACACTTTAGTTTTTAGAAGTTCTCTAAGTGGGTGTTGCTGCTACCATTCCTGTTGGCTGCAACAGCCATGAGATCTTATTGTTTTGATGATTGTTTTTATTAAGTTTTTTTCGATGGTTCAAAAAAGTAAGAAAAAGCCATGGCAAGTATTATCATGGCTTGGGATGATAGTCAAGGTACCACATCAAGAGCTCTCCACACAGGGTGAGTCAAGGGGTGCATGCACAAATAGAAACTATTTACTCTCTAAAGTCTTTCAAAAAGGGGAGGGAAGGGGAAGAAACAGTAGAGGGGATGAGTGGGAGAGGGTTGATAAGAAAGGGGAGGAAAAGGAGTCAGGGAAAAATACCATACTACAAGTAGAAAAAGACATAAGAAGAAAAAAATTGCCAATAGCCTAGTAAAAAAAAAAAAAGATTAACAAGGAAGTCAACTATAATTCCCAGATTATTACTATTTCAGATCTGTCAAGGGTTACCCTGTGGAGAAGGTAGTCAAACTGTCCACATAGCATTAGAAGTATAGCCAGAGGGGGTCTAGAGAACTATCTTTGAATACATATAATTCAGTTTTCACAGCAACAGACTGGCATATTTGTATTGCAAACATTTTTCATGAAAATAGCTGCTTTTCTTTCCTCCTTTCATGTATTTGCAGTTATTTTTATTTTTGTATTCATTCAGCAGCATAGGTTTAAGCTAATAAATCCCACACTTGCTGTTTTGAATGCCATAAATAAAAACAACAATAAATGTATTGGTAATGTTATTGTGGCAAGCCTAATTAACATTTTTAAATGCACCTAAAGGTCCTAGCATAAAATGAAACTCGAATCTCATTTTTTCCATTTTTTTGTGTTGTTCTAAAGTAAAACGATTTCAAATGTTGGAGATTATTAGATGTAAAACCAATATGAGTGGGAGACAAAAGAAATATTGTATTGTTTGAGGCTGTGTAAAAATGAATCATGGAGTGCTTGACAAATACATCATATGAAGTAAATTACAGGGTACCTTGTTACTTTCCAGATTGTAGTTTGTTTTATTCCATCATAATCAATAGTAGCGAGCACACCTTTCCCACTGTATACACTGCAGTTTTTTGTGCTAATGCCTTGAACTTTCAATTGTATCAAGGCTTGTTGTACAGCCCTGTTTAACTCCTTGTTATGTAATGAAACTGACTCTGGTCAGAAGACTTTGGATGTGGTGGCCTGTGTCTTTCTACTTTTTTGACAATAAGCTGTAGAGGAAATGGCCTCAGCAAGGCAACAGCCTGGTCTTAAATTCCAAAGCTCTTTTGGCTGTACGTCTCCTGTGGACCACAGGAGTGCAGTTCGTTCTGCACTCCTGTGACCCATTTTCAGGTGACAGCGGGCTAAATCCTGCTGATGGCTGACGTCAATCAGCTGGTCCAGGCTGGGGAAACATCCCGACATTAAAGTCGGGATCCAACCCAGAGTCTGGAGAGGCACCTGGCTCAGCCTCTCAGTGAGCCACTGAGAGCCTGAGCTAGTTGCTCTCTCCCCCTTCACAGTCCAGTGCTCCAGTGAGACAGCATTGACTCTCTGTTCAGAGAACTCAGCGTTCAGCGGTCATGTGATCACTGAGTTCTCA